GAGAAAGGGAATAGAAATAAAAGTGGATTCCCAAGCCAGGGAGGGGCAAGGAAGCTAAATGGAGTCATGTCTCCGGGAATATATACCTCTTTCCCCCTAATTATTTTAGAGCTCCACCAGGCTCTGTGATTGGTAGTTCTCTGTGATCTCCCTCACTGTCTTAATGTCTCTGTGACCAGAACTAATTCTCTGTGTCTCAGCCCTTATCTTAGAGTCCTTTTTCTTATATGCCCTTTTGCCACTAGTCCTGAGGGTGTTTGATTAGTCCTCTTTGGCATGTGTTGCCCTAATCTCTACAGCCTTCCTGAACTCCTCTGAAGTCCCTCCCTGCACTGCCTCTGAAGCTGCCTAGTTATGCCTAACTTGCCTTAGGACTCGTTCTGATTCATTTGTGGCAGGATTAAATAATATAAGTCAAAGTGAGCTCAACTGGAATACTAAAAACCAACTGAAGAGTACTCCATGGAATGAGGAATTAATTTGTAATTATCACATTGCATGTTAACTTCCCTATTTGCTTTTTGTAGGTAAGAAAATGATTAACACATCTGCTTAGCTTTTAAGCTGTATATCTTTGGATAAATGCATAAATGAAAGGTTAGTCTGAATCTATTTCCAGCTGTCCACCAGAGAGATACATGGTACAACAGCTGCCTCTGCAGGTTATTTTTATAAGAGCAGTTTTACCTTTATAGTTCTACCTTTATAGTTCTTTACAAAATGATGTAAAAATAAACATTATTTAAAAAAGAAAGAAAAGAAAAGAAAAGAAAAGAGGCAGTTTTGTTTAGAGAAAGAAAAAAGTTTATTAAGGAGAAGGGGAATAGAAATAAAAGTGGATTCCCAAGCCAGGGAGGGGCTTTCTTTCTTTCTTTTTTTTTTTTTATTTTACAAAAGTTTATTTTTACATCATTTTGTGCATTTTTTTTCCATCTCAATTGTAATCCCCATGGGTAGTTCTGATGTTTCTTAATGTCTTCATTTTGGGTTTCTTTCTTGTTTCTGTGATGCCCAAGGCTGAAGTTCCAGCAAAAATAGTTGTAACTTTTTTTTTTTGTAGACTTATTTGGGCCCTCCCTGGTAATGCAATGGGTTAAGACACAGCACTGCAAGCTAGACACAGCCACTTCAGTGTGAATTCAATCCCCAGCCAAGAGATGACCCACATGGTGCAGGAGACGTCTCTTGTCTCGCCCACTGCTCCCCTCAGCAGTGTACTTCATTAATCTGCCTGTTCTGCTCCCCCACTCTGTCTCTGGTGAATCTACTCACTGCCCCTGCACCTATGGCCTGTACCCCAGCTCTGCATATTTATTTATGCATACAGAACCAGGTCAGAGGTGCAGGAGTTATTCTAAGTCTTTCTGTGGTCCATCTGGTTTTCTACTTATCTCTAATAACTTTTGCACTCTAGCTAACATATTACAGAACACAGTAGATTGTTGCAGACACAAGTAATTGACTTAATGAAAACTATTTAACAGAAGATAATCTTCAGTGTCCACTAGCACTACAGTCACACAGACACTCACTCATAAAACACTGAATAAAGTTCCTTAGGTAGTTTCACCTGAACAGAGAAGAACAGAACAAATTTTTTCTCAGGATATCCAGCGGAGATGCATTATTTGAATAGAGGTTTTCACTTTGTATACCTTCGAGTGGTGATAGTGGGGGTATCAACAAAAAGACCTCCTTGCAGTTTACAAGGAAATTTTATAAAGTAAGTTAGCTCTTACACCTCAAAAAGGAGTAAGTTCTTATGAAAGCCGTGTGTGTGTGTGTATGCCTGTGTGTGCATGTGTATTTTAAAACTTTGTAAGTTTAGGGGGGAATAGATTCCACATACTTTGATAGTGATCATAAAGATCATGAGGATACAGTCTGGTATTAATTTCAGGAATCTTTGGTACACCTTATTATTTAAATTCTATTTGACTATTTCCAGGACAAAATGGTTTCTTCAAAAAGCTGATCATTACTTAATTACTAATTAAAAAGTTTCCTTAAAATGAACTAAAGCCTGCTGCCAGCAACAAGATAAAACTCCACTGAAATAACATTATAGCTCTTCGTCAGGGATGATGGGCTCGGGCAGAAACTCTTTCCCTCTATGCCCTCATCTGAGACCCAGAGGATACCATTAATGATTAATGAAAATTTTCTGCCCAAATTTGACCTTCTGAAACTTCAACAATATCTGACCTTGTAAACTAATCAATAGATTCCACAAAATGAACTAGATGTGAAAGTTTTCAGGTATAGCAGAAGTTTGATGTCAGTGGCATTTTGTACTCCATTGATTTATTATCTTTACCAGTTCTACTATTTTGTTCTAATTTCCCAGATAAGGTAAAATTTGAACATGTAGGTTTTCCTGTGTGAGTTTAATGCTTGACCTTTCTTTTGAGTTGGTTGTTTAGAAAGTCTGCTTTAAAATGTCTGCTTTGTTCCTTACTTCTGACTCTTCTCAACTCAGTGATAGGGTAGTTGGTAGCCCACTAAAGATAGAGTACAACAGCTTTCCTACAGGGAATTTTCACCAACATCAGGTATTCTCACCAGTAAGTTGCACAAATTCCTGAAGAGGATTTCTTTAAAAGGAAAAACGTCTACCCTGCCTGTCTTTATCTACCACTAACTCAGCTCCAAACCACAAGACAAAAATTCCTACCTTGGCCTATGTATATTTACTGTTACAAAAAACTATTAGTTTGGAAATTTGGAGGTTAAAAGGCTTGATAGCAGCTTCCATATCACCTGAGATGGATTCCCCAATACATAAAGCCATGAGGATAAATAACTAAGGGTTCAAACTTATGGTTCTTCAAAGGAATACCACATTATAAGGGGCCTTCCCTGGTGGCACACTGGGTTAAAGCACAGCACTATGAAGCTAGCCGCAGCTGCTTCAGCATGAGTTCAATCCCCAGCTGGAAGGTGACCCACAGGACACAGCAGACCTCTCCTGTCTCATCCACTGCTCCCTTCAGCAGTGTACTTGGTCACCTGCCTGTTCTGCTCCCCACTCTGTCTCTGGTGAATCCTCTCACTGTTCCTGCACCTCTGGCCTGTATCACAGTTCTGTATGCATAAATAAATGAATCTTTAAAAAAAAAAAAAAAAGAATAGCCCATTATAGAGCATTGGGAAATTTCCTAGATTTGTACATATAATGAATAAGGGAAGACACAGGCTGCCTTCCATGTGTTCAAAGCCTGTTATAAACATAAGCATAGTAAGTGAGGCCCCAAAAATAAAAATGCATTTCCTCCTGCACTAATTCTTCCATAGTCACTGAATGGACTTAAAGAAAGGTGCTATGATTTCTCCATTCATCTCCCAATAAGGACCTTTAGATATCTCCTAATATTCAGGGGCCTACCTGGTTTTTTTATTCAAAATTTATTTATTTTGAAGCTGCTCCCCCCAGAACAGACCTATTTCAATTCTATTAACTGTGCATGTACACTTTCCTCTCTTTTCTTCTGCCTGTTCTCTTCTTCTTCCTATTCTTTAGGCTGCTATTAGCAGCTTGAACATGCAAAAGGGAGAAGTTAGCAGAAGAGACAACCAACAGGAAATACCAATCCAATAGCAACTTGGTGGCTTAGTGTTGTTCCCCTTGGTTACAGGACATGTCCAAAGTTGTCATTTTCTCCTTGTGGCTACTTTGGAGAGTTTTTAACCATTATCCCTATGGATCTCTCACATCCATCTGGCACCACAAAACTACTGAGGACCTCCCTAGTGGTTTATGAGTTAAGTTACAAAATAATATATTATTTAAAAATTTAGGCCCTCCCTGGTGGCGCAGCAAGTTAAAGCACAGCACTGAGAAGCTAAAGCCACTTCTGTATGAGTTGGATCCCTGCCTGCACCGGAGGTGACCACATGGCGCGGCAGACCTCCCCTGACCCGCCCGCTGCTCCCCTCAGCAGTGTACTTTGTCGATCTGCCTGTTCTGCTCCCTACTCAGTCTCTGGTGAACCCTCTTACCCCCCACATCTCTGGCCTGTACCTCAGGTCTGTATGAATAAATAAAATCTTTTAAAAAATTTAATATTCCCCACTGTTTCTGTGGTTTTCAAGCTGTCTACTCTGCACACAGGTGTCCCACTGCCCTCCACATAATCATTTATGCAAAGACAAAGCCCACACTTAGGGATAACCAGGCAGCTTGCTCTCTTATTTAATCTACATCAATCCACATACCACTGCAAGCTTTCCACTAATGGCCCGCTTCTTGGTTGCTCAAAGCTACTTGGCCAACTAATCATACTTTAGATTTCTACAGCCTGAATCAGATGCCTATCCTGGCATCAAGAACTCTGGTCCCCCTTGCTATGACTGAAGAGAAATACTCCCCACTATACCCCCAAAACCACTGGATAAATAAACAACTTTCTCAAAAGTACTTTTCTTAATTTCCATCTTTTCTTTTGGCTAAGTTCCTAATCACCCCCCTATATTCTGGAGGTGGGTAATGCACTAAAGGTGATAACACCGTTATGCTCTCATACACAAACTAAAGTCCTACATCTGTGCGGCTATTTTGGAATGTAGACATATTCACTTATTTTCAGTTCTTTTTCTTTTTGCAGCCTTAGCTGAAACTAAGCCAAGAAGAAGGGAAGAATAAAAAGCCACATTTTAGTATTAGAAAGATGGACCCTAAGGATGATTGCCATAGCAATAATTTCTGATACCTTATGTGGCATACATCTTTTCACTTAAATATTTTTACTTTTTAATTCTGTCCATTAATTGTTATAGTATGTCATAAACCTCTGATCCATTGTGAGAAACCTACAAAGGTATCAAAGAATGAAAGTGCATATAGTGAAGAAAAATGTCACTTTCACTATGGATACAGCTGTGTTAGTTCCCTTCCTACATATGCATTTAATGTGACATCCATTTTGAATCAAAACCACGTAAGTTTTTCTATTTCTGTTCTACAGGCAGAGATTATGAAAAGGATAAAGTCTGCAAGGAACTGAGCATTCTGGGAAAAGATGACTTCAGATCTTTGTAAGTATCAGGTATTCACCTATTCTTTGGTTACTTGGTTTGAATGAAACTATGAGGTAACTTCCAATCAGCATAAAGGGCTAAGCTAATCTCTGCTAAGAGGAGAAGCACAAGTCAGTGTGGACAGAGATGTCAGGCAAGTGGAGGACATCCAAAAATATCTGTTGAATTATCATTCCTGTGGTCTAAGAATTTGTTACCAGCAAGTTTAAGAACAAGTTATGACAATATATAAGCATTGTCTTCTAAGGTCAATTGAAGTACAAATAGTACATGATACAACTTGGACAAAGTCTATGAGGTACAAAACTGGTTCATTTGAAGCACAGAGAAAATGACCATTAAGCTGGTTTGATGGAACCCAAGTTCAGCTTCTACTGTTTTATAAGATAAATTTACCTAGAATAAAAACTAATTTTTAAAGTAAGCTTCATATTCTTTTTAAAAATCAGGTAAGCAAATATGCAATTTTTCTTTTAAAATTTTCCTTTTAATATGCACAAGGTAAAAAAAAAAATTAGTCCTTATAATATATCAACTTATTGTTCTCTTCAGATCAATGGTTCTATATAGCAGAAAATTTCCCGGCGGCACATTTGAACAGGTCCAACAACTTGTGAATGAAGTTGTCTCCTTGACAGAAGACTGCTGCGCCGAAGGGGCTGATCCTGACTGCTACGACACTAGGGTACAGTCTGTGTGGCTGACAAATTCTACAGTAATCCTTCAAGGGAAGTCAAGATAGGTTTCTCTGTCATATCTTGATAGCAGTTCCACCTACTCTAGTGTGGAGGGAATATAACACCAACTGCATAATCTCTGGCCCTACATCAATTCAAGCATAATGGAATCAATTTTTCCATTATTTCCACACAGTTCAAATGCTAAAACATGGGCCACTGTGGCTAATGAACCTCTTGAAGTATTCTAATGTAGTCTCTGCATTTTTCAAGCTTGTTTAGATCCATACTTGTATCATCCAGTTAAAACAGATGCCAAGTGTCCCAGAATAATTTTATATTGCCCTCAAATTATTTTGGGGTTCACATGTTGCTATATATATGTGTACTAGGTTCTGAGTTTTCTTTCTTAAACTGTTTGTGTGTGTGTGTGTTTGTATGTGCATTAGAAAAAGACATGACAGTAGCTGAAAAAGTTAAAAGATAGGCTTTGGCAGCAATTTGCTAATGCAGTCAACAGATCTGATGCAAATAACATTTAGATGCATCTGACAAAGGCTTTGACAAATAGTTCTCCCTGCTCAAGCCTGCAGCAGTTAGTCTGCAGAAACAATGCTTCAAAAATCTGATAAGCATAGATTTTAAGCAATTATAGAGCCCAATCATTGTTTTACCTCGCTCTGCCTTTCTAAGAAGTGTATCATCTTCTTCCACCACCAAGTTCATAAATCCCAATTATTTTCAAGCTCCTGAGTTTGAAAAACTTCTTTGCTGTCTTCAAATAAACAAGGCTAAAACTACAAACCATGATCAAAATAACAGAACAGTTTTATTTCTATTTTAGTTCACATATTCGCTAACCAACATCTTGATAAACTCTGAATTAAAGAGTTCAAAAGATATAGATGGTCGTGACATTTTTAATGCATAACAACTTTGTTTGTTCAAATAACTTTTTTAATGTCTTGATACTTCCTTTTTTAAAACTTTATTTGAAGGAGACAGTAAAGGGGAAAATAAAAAAAAAGCTGTCAGGTAAAGGAAAAGAGTCATTGAAAAGAAAGGGTAAAAAGATTTCCTTAAAGAATTCTGATAGCTCAATGTGAGGTGTGGGCCAAAAATTTGAAAAGATTTATTCTTAGTTTACATCATTTATTCATGTGTTGTTTTCCTTAACTGATAGATTTACAAGTCTTGTGGTAAAAATACGATTAATGTAAAATTATGAGAATGTATAACTACTTGTCCCATATTTCTTTCTCTAACAATTACTTCTAAGTTTTTATTCTAAACCTCACATTTCCAGGGAAAACATTCTGTTTCTACAATTACTTTGGGCTTAGTCTATTCACAGTATCACAGTATCAGTGTTGAGATGGTAAATGAAATTGCAGTAGAGCTTTTCACCTGTGCCATACACAAGAATAAACCTTGGGGCTTTAGGAAAACAGACCCTCAAATCCCATCTTTTACTTACTAAGAAGAATTTCTATGCTGCACAGCCCAGGCATTTATTTCTAGACATTCTAATTCTGATGGAAAAATAGGTTCAAGAACCAGAGGGTAAAAGGCTGCAAACCAATGTAGCAAACTGAAGCAGTCAGACATTAAGAAACTGCTCATTTAATAAAGAGCAAGGAAGAAAACAGAGGCAGGCCTCATTCTCAAGGGATATCTGCAGCAGAAATCAAGTAGATCATATCAGAGCTTTCTCAAGTGATCTCCTTCACCAAAGATGCTAATAGCCACCTGAAGAAACACTGGGCTAGGGGATAAAAACGCTCCTGGCTGTAAATGATGTCCACCTATTAATGAAGACTATACTTTTATCCTACTCTGAGAGTCATTTATTAACATAAGACCCTACTTGTATATAGTTATAATTATGCAATTTGTCATATTGACAGATCATCTCATGCAGCCTTGGGCAAGCACAGTTTATTACTAATAAGATTCTAAAATAAAAGACCAAGATGTATCAAAAAGAAGAGTTTGTAAATCAAGTAAAAGGGGCCAGCTGTATAATGATAGATAGAGACTTTTGGTGGCAAACGCCATATAGTATATACAGATTGATTTGTAAGGCTCTACACCTGAATTCTATATAATGCTATACAGCAGTGCTATTTTAATAAAACATACTGAGATGTTGTCATGAGCACCAAGCCTGGAACCTTGCACTTCTTCCTTCTCTCCTTCTAGACCTCAGCCTTGTCTGCTAGGTCCTGTGAAAGTGACGCTCCATTCCCAGTGCACCCGGGGACGGCTGAATGTTGTACCAGAGAGGGCCTTGAACAGAAACTCTGCATGGCTGCCCTGAAGCACCAGCCAGAAGAATTTCCTACCTATGTAGAGCCAACAAATGACGAAATCTGCGAGGCATTCAGGAAAGATCCCAAGGGATTTGCTGAGCAGTAAGCAGGGTTCATTAGCAGTAGCACCTTAGGGCATTAAAATACAAGAAATGTGTCTCATCTAGCTCCATACGCTCTACAGACACTAGAACAACCCAGACAACGTGCATAACAAGGACTCTCACCCATACAATCCATCTCTTTGTTAGTGCTGATTATTGTAAGTGCATTTCTCAGACAAAATAAACTTTACCGAACTCCCACTCCCAGTTCTATTACCTGAGGCAAAAACACTGGGAGTCCCTATCCACATGATATTTTCAAATATTTGAAAACAGCTGTTCTGATTCCATCTGATGGAATTCTGTTGCTATTCACATTTTAGACTTTTAATTTTCTCCTCTCTACAATGTATCCATAGAAATAGTTATGAACATGACACATTGCACTACATAAATGAACATAATACTTTGAACTCCTCATCGTTTAACATTCATAAGGAGCCAGATTATACATTGCTTTTTAATGTTAGTCGCAGAAGATCATCAAAACCAACAAGAATGTAAAATCAATTTATGATAATAGAAAAATACATAGACAAACACCAAAAATAAAGCCATTTAAACTAGCTTTAATACTATGAAATTCAGGTTTATGACTATAAAATTTGGTTGGCTTCCTCATCCTTTTAAGTTTAAATAAAGGTTTTGACAAGATTTCAGAGAGTCTTTATGACTCAAAGGGGCTTATGCACCTCAATATTAAAAAGATTAACAAGCCAATTCAGAGCAATCATCTAGAAAAGGTTAAATCCATGACACTCATTTACATTTGTTCATCAACATAAATAGGCAATGACTATTTGCCTAGACAATAAGTGAGAAAAGCAACAATTTACTATTTCTCTCGTAATCTATATAGGAATTAAAGAACCTACAATTTTTAATGAAAATATTTGTTCAAAATGAGTAGCATAATATTCCTTTATCTGTGTCCTTGGTACTTTTTAGATACTCAGTTTTATTCATTAGAATAATAATGAATAAGTTGTCTAAATTTGCTTCATTCAGAGAATAACTATGAGCAAGTATAAGTTTGCTTCCCACAATGCTTTGGCCAACCCTGGTATTTTCCCACAGATTTATGTATGAATATTCCAAGAACTATGGACAAGCCCCTCTGCTGCTTTTGGGTGGTTACATCAAGAGTTATCTCTCAATGGTGGGGTCCTGCTGTACCTCCCCAAATCCAACTGTCTGCTTTCTGAAAGAGGTAGGTGTCATTTTATCAATGACATAGTTAATTTTGTATCTTCTGTTGCTATCATTCCATTTAAATGGCAATGGTCAGATTCCAGTGTCCATAAAAATTTGTGAAAGACCTCTTTTGCATTTTGTTAACTGGAGAAATAAACATAGTGCCTTTGTGGAAGAAATATCAATAAGCTCCTTTGGTCAGAAGTCAGTTTTCTAGCCGAAACAATCATTACATTTATGGTTACCTTTTGCTATAAGTGTATATTGCAATGGATCTTTACATCAAATGAGCTTCTCACTTCTTTTCTAGAGACTCCAGATTAAACATTTATCACTTCTCACCACAATGTCAAATCGACTCTGTTCACAACATGTTGCTTATGGGAAGGAGAAATCAAGGCTCAGGTAAAGATTAAACATTATCAACACTGTTAGCTGTCTAAATCTGTGCTTTCTAACCATAATATAAGGATTCTCTAAGAAAATATCTGTAAAGAGATATAGATTATAATTTTATGCTACAGTAACCCTTAAAAATCTTTACTGTTTATATTTTGCATGAAAAAATAAGAACAAGCACACATTATAAAACACAAGATAGGCTTTTAATAAACTTTTTCCATATACTCATTATATTGGAAAATTTGTAGACACTAGAAATAATTTCCTCAATATTCATATTAGTACATATTACAAACACAAAAGCAAAAATCAGTTACTTTTTTTTTTTAAGTTGCTTTGTGCATGTTCCCCCTGGGATAAGATTTCCTGAATTCTACTTGTTATATGAAGTCGTGTGTTATATACATTGCCTAATATTCACGAATGTATCCTAATTTAGCAATTTTATTTGTAACCTGCTTTGATATTTTTATTAAAATCTTTAAGATAAATCCAGATTGCTTTCCATAATGGTTGTACCAGTTCACCAGTTTATACCAAAAGGCTTCCTTTTCTCTGTGTCCTATGCAACCGTTGTCACTGGGAGTATTTTTTAATATGTGCCATTCTCACAGATCTGAGATGGTACTACACTCTGATTTATTCTTATCTCTCTTATTATAAGTGACAATGAACACTTTTATGTCTTTTGGCCTTCTGGATATCCTCTTTGATGAATTACCTGTTCATCAAGAAGTTTTATCTTTTCAATATTGATACTCTGATCCCTTTTACTATTACCCATAAACTTCTGCCGTCTAACTGTAAAGAAAGACTATTTCATGCTGGCACAATGTCCTAAGCCTCTCTAATGTAAGCTTTCCCTAGTCTTTTAAAAAGTAATCTTCTGTTAGAACTATTCAAATACTAAGTTGTATTTTCACTAGGCCTTCCCTTCAATTTTCTTTTTGCATTAAGACAGTATATTTTGCAAATAGGCTATAGGAAGTTATAATATAAAATCACCTACATAAGATAAACATCAATTTATACTTTAATTAGTGTCTAGGAACTTACAAGGAAGTAGTATCAAATGAATAGGTATTTAGCTACAAATATTGCTGCTACTTTTTTAATATAAAATGTCTGATACTTCCTAACTTGCTAGTAAGGAGGTTGAATCAGTAATTAAAAACCTCTCAACAAACAAATCTAGAAGTAGATGACTTCAGGGATTTCTATCAGTCAAAGAATATCAACCCTCAAGCTCCTCCCCCATGAAATCTTTCAAAATCATTTTATGAAGCCAGCATTATCATGATACCAAAAGCAGACAAAGAAAATTACAGACCAATATTCTGAACTAGTTGCAAAAATTCTCAACATAATATTAGCAAACAAATTTCAATAATACATCAAAATGATCATATACCATGATTAGGTAGGATTCATACCAGGAATGCAATGGTGGGCCATTATCTACAAATGAATCAATGTGATAACATTAACAAAAGAAATCATGATCATCATGATCATCTCAGTTGATACCAAAAATGAAAAATTTCAGTGTTTATGATAAAGACTCAGAATTCATATAAAGAGAACATAAATGCAACAAAATAAAGGTCATAAATGACAAGCCCACAACTAATATCATACTCAATGAAAAAAACTTTTCCTCTAAGATCAGGAACAAAGATGGCCACCACTCTTGTCCCTTTCATACAGCATAATATTGTCCTACGTAGAGCAATTACAAAAGAAAATGGAATAAAGTCATCCGAATTAGAAGTAAAATCATTACTATTTGCAGGTGGCATAGTATATATGTAGAAAACACTACAGATGCCATCAAAAGTGTGAGAACTATCAAATTCAGTGAAGTAGTATACAAATATTAACACAAGCCTGTTGAATTTCTATATATTAACAAACCATAAAAAAAAAAAACTTAGAAAAACAGTATCATTCACAATTGCATGAGTTTCACCAAGGAATAAATCTAGCCAAGCAGGTGAAAACTACCAGATACTAATGAAGCTGAAGACAACATGAATAGAAAGCTATCCTGTACTCATGGATCATAAGAACATTGTTAAGAAGCTCAGACGACCCAGTGTCTCAGAGAACCTTGTGCACTGTTCATGGAAATGAAAATTGCTGCAGTCATTATGCAAAACATTATGGCGGTTTCTCAAAAAATATATAAATACACCTACCCTATATGATTCCATACAAACAAAATCCTAGAAATGTAACTAGTGCCTGAAAGTACACCAGTGACTATCTGAGAGTAGGAGGAGAGCGCAGAGAGGGTAGAAAAGTGCATTACAATATGGGAATAAGGTGGATATACTCATTATCTTTTTTGTTGTGGTTTTGAGGTAATGTAGGTCTATATTGTGTACATTTTAAGAATACAAGTTCACGCCAGTTCTATCAAGCACCCAGAATCCTCTATCCCAGTCTATTTTCTTGATAGTTTCATGGTTGTGCTAGTTTCATGAGTGTGTATATATTTACATTATCTATCTGGTAAGTTTTAATATATTTTCAAGTTATTATGTCATTAAAACTATTTTTAATATTTATATGTACAATACATATATTAATATTTAATATTAATGACCCAGCAACTCCAATCTGTATTTAGCCAAAGAAAATAAAAACCCCAGAGAAATTCTCCCACATCCATTTCAGCTATTTACAATAGCTAGTATATGAGAACAACCTAAGTAAATGCCCATGAACAGATACTGGATAAAGAAGCTATTAATACATATACACAATGGAATAATTATTCAGCCACAAAAATGATATAAATTTTGCCACCTGACATTCATTCTGGATGTATTTCCAGCACATTTTGCTAGGTACAAGTCAGACAGAGTAAGATAAATGCTGTATGATCTGTCATATGTGGAATTTAAATAACAAAAAATGGTCTAACAGTTAAAGGATTCTTCAACTGTGCAGACCTGACCAGAAAAGAAGTGACATTATCAGTCCTGAAACATGAAAAGATTCTTGAAGATAACTGAATTTTGAATAGAGGTTTGACATCTAGGATCCATCACTTAGCAAATATGCTCCATACAGATGATGAGGACAGCCTTGAACTGTGGTATTATTCTTCCAGACCATACACTCATAATGAAATCAAGAAAATTAAGGATGTTAGTAAGATAACATTCGTTTTTAACTGTTTAGCCATCTCATAAAATTAGCACAAAAAGTCCCAACTGCTGATTTGAAGGATGTTTTGCCACTAGCAGAAGATGCTACCGCAATTCTTTCCAAGTGTTGTGAGTCTACCACTGAGGGATGCATGGCCAAGGAGGTAAGAGCATCCCTGACCCCAAACCCTTCATCATCACACACCATATAGTGAGTGGCTAGCCCTGTGAGCTGCCTTCCTAGGTTCGCTATCTCACTGAATTCACACACACACACATACTGTGAAATGCAGTATATTATTAAAATGTGTTTTATCATTAAAAAAAACAGAATAGCAAGATCATTAACTTGAAATCATATGATTAAGTAGCAGAGTCCACACACAGGTCAGATGATCTGATTCCCAACATGTCATTCTACTTGCATGGCTAACTCAGTATACCCTAGCTATAGACATTTATTTAAGTTTAATATAATTAGCATTTAATAAAATTTTGATTTCAGTTTTTTTCTGTCATAATAGTGCAATTTCAAATGCACAATAATAATGAGGTAATACAGATTATTTTCATCAATACATAAAGTCATTAGACAGCACTGCAACCATTATTAGAAGCTATTAATGTTTTTTTTTTACACCTATTAAAGTTTGATGGTCAATTTTTTCCACCATTTTCTATTTATATAAACTTTTCACGTAGATACTAATTTGAACAGTTGCTTTGAGATAAAGGTCATTCCACAGATCTTTGAATCAATTTAGGAATAAAAGTTTCAATTAAGAATGTTTGTGCTAATAGGTGTTTTTCCATAAGTGATTTGATATATATGTACTTAGCCATTATATCTACTGCATCCACCAACCTTCGATATTTTAATCAATTTTGCTTTGTAGCTAAATTTTCCTATCACCCATATTTCCTGAGTATAAATCTCAGGTGTCAAATTGTACACTGAAGGTTATAAGCACACATCACTAAATTATCCTCTCTAGATAGTCTAACAATCTACTTTTTAAAAACATTCACATTGACTTTTAGATACACCATGCCAGTTTGTAAGCCTATGTATATCAACATTTTTAATTAGACCAATCAGAATACTAAAATGCATAAACTTACAATTACTTTTATAGCTACCTGAACACACAGTAAAAATCTGTGACAACTTGTCCACAAAGGACTCTAAATTTAAGGACTGCTGTCAAGAAAAAACACCAATGGACGTTTTTGTGTGCATTTACTTCATGCCTGAGGCCCAACCACCTGAGCTGCCAGAAGTTGAGTTGCCCACAAATAAAGATGTTTGTAGTAAACACAGCACCAAAGTCATGGACCAGTAAGTAGAGTTGATCTGAGTAATTATTTCTTGACAGTACTGATATTCATTGGCATTAAATAAGCTAGAAATCAAATAGGAAAAAATGACAAACCTTTGTCTGGTTTTATTCAATTAAGAAAAGAATTAAACCAGGCGAGAAAATAATAAGAATAATGAACAGCCGTATACCAGAAACATTTTGTAGGGGTGGAGTGAGGAATGGGATCAAAAACGGGGGGTGGGGGGGGAGGGAAGTGCACGGGATTATGGTGACTTGGTAATGGGAAACCCATGGGGATTACAATTGAGATGGGAAAAAAATGCACAAAATGATATACAAATAAACTGTTATAAAAGAAAAGAATTGACTATCCCATGGGTTGCATACACTAGGAACACTGAGTATATGCATACTCTTGGCATAAAAATATCTCATATGTAGTTTGAATCACCAGCTCAAATCACTTACCAACATCAACAGACAGAATTTATACTGGCTGCAACTTGAATTTTTGTTTTCTAAATATTCATTGGTTTTATAAGTACATAGAAAGGGGATAAGATAATAGAAAAAATTACACATACCTATTTTCACAAAAAATGCTTTTTGAGAAGCATGATGCTTTGTATAAGTTTCTTTAGTTGCACAATGGATCAGTCTATACAGATTTCAAGTAGGTATGTTCATATATACCTATGCAAATACATCCTACAGAGCTTTCTCAGCATTAACTTATGACCATAGCTTCAAAGCAACAATTAACAAATTGTATTACAATGAGAATTTGTTTTTAATATAATACCTTTTATTTGGAATCAGTTTCAATTTGGGCTAAATCCCTTTCTTTTAATTAAGAGACAAAAACCAGGTACTGTGTTCACAAAAATTTCAAATCTCGAGATAAGATATATATGCAAGTTATGCGTGTTAAAAAGTATTATCTCCTTTCTCTCTAATGCCAGATATGCATTTGAACTAAGTAGAAGGACTCATGTTCCAGAAGTATTCCTCAGTAAGATACTTGTGCCAACCCTGAAAAGCCTTAGCGAATGCTGCCAATCTGAAGACACTACTGCCTGCTTTAATGCTAAGGTCTGATTTGCCTCATTTTCTTTATCAACCTCAGTGTATGTAGACCCAGAGTTGGCAAACTGTAGCTCATGGGCTAGATGTGGCCCCGTGCTGTTTGTCTGATCTGTAAACTACGAAAGGTGCTACCTTTATTAATGGTTTAAAGACAAAGATCATCTTCCATTATTCATAAAAATTATATGAAATTCAAATCTCTATGTTCATAAAGTCTCATTGGAACAGAATCACGCTGAACCATGCACTGTTTGTGACTGTTTTTGTACCATAATGGCAGAGTTGAAAAGATACAACAGGTTATATGTGGTCTTCGAAACCTAAGACATTTACTAACTGAAGTTTTGCAGAAAATGTTTGCGGGTACCTAGTATAGATAACACATTATATAGAATTCTGTTGAAAAATTGTTCCAGAAGTTATTACAACACAAATAACTTTGATTTCTTATAGGGCCCTGAACTGAAGACAGAATTATCTTCTTTCATTGAAAAGGGACAAGAACTATGTGCAGATTATTCAGAAAACACGTTTACTGAATACAAGAAAAAGTAAGGGACCTAACTATTCTCCATATTTATCTATTTGTCTTGCTCTGTGATATGAAAGCATAGTTTAAACTTAAGATGAGCTAAGCGAGCAATAAAAAGATGTACAAGTAAAAAAGTCTAAGAGGCAGTCAGAACATAATATCTGTGTAAGAAGAAGCAGTGCTTTTTCTGAGGGGAAATGTCATGTAAATCAGGTAAAAGATCTATGAGTGCCAACTCATCGGGTGGCAATGTTGGGAGCAGTGCAATGAAAGATTTCTCAAAGCCCTTGTGGAGCAGCGAGAAGCCTAGAGGGACTACACCAAGACGATGCAGCCCAATCCAAGGGCTGTCTTGTATTTTTTTAGAATCAGGTTTAGAGAAGGTGGGCAAGCAGGTGGGGAATGTACATCCTTGCAGGTGTGGTATGGGGATGCTTGATCAGGGATGCATTATCGTCTGCTGCAAGCTAGAGTGGAGTGACCAGGGGTTATTGCTTGTGGGCTCCATAGGTTCCTGCTAATCAAAACATACTATCTCAAGTCCCTATTATCACCTAACTTACTGTTACCTAACTTACTGTTAATCTTTATAAGTAAGATATTTCAGCTGATTTGATAATACGGCCAGATTATCTGCTGCTGTCTTCAGCAATCACTGGTTTTCCAGTATGTTCTTCATACTGCTACATGGCAATCACAATGTGAAGTGGGTTGGCATAATGTGGGTACTCACCTGTGTGCTTAAAAGGGACTTGTAATTTTCTTTTTTCTTCTGACATTTCACTGAGCATGATGGTGGGTGAAGTGGGGGAGGGGAGAAGTAAACAGTGTTTTTAAATGAACAATAATATAAACAGACATATAAATTAATAAATATTCACAAAAAAAGACTTAGAATGCGACTCAACTGCAGGCATATATAATAAATGGTTAATAACAGGTTTATTTACAGAAAGGAGAAAATGAAGAAAGGAATAACTCAGGGGAAAGAGAGAAAAATATATTGGCAAATGCATCCTACCAGTTCCACTTAACTGGAACCCCAATAGCATCCTGAAAGCCAGCAAAGAACCAAGAACCCCAAAGTCCACATGTTCGGTTATCTACCAAGCCTGGCTACATAATGCCACTCTCAGATCCCAGCATCCTCTGTAGAGTGGTGATAACATTATGGGATTTATAGTCCTTGGTGTCTTGGATCTCTTTGGTCAGGGACAGATATGGGTTCCATAAAGCCTGTGGAGTTTGTTTAGTACATCCTCTCCCCCCAACAATTCTTTACCTTTGGTTAGAGGGGTCCTGCCTCACTATACTTTTGGCTTGACCAGCAGGAACTCTGGGCATCTGAGAAGAAGGAAAGCTGAGGATTCCACAAGTTAAACACAGCCACAAAAATACAAGTTACAAAATCTGCAGGCACCTAACTCCAAAATAACAAAATAAGCCCAGTTTATGAACATTCATGCCATAAAGCTATCTGTAAATATCAGCATGTGTAATTGAGAAACTATAAAACTAGCAAAAATGTTATCTAACTTTGTAGCTTAGTATCTAAGAAAACTGCAAACTTTCAATCAAATATAGTATCAGCCATCACTGACAAATATCTCTATAAATCAGAAATAAAAATGCTAATTAGTCATAATGTCATTTTACAACAGTAATTTTTCTCATTTAAATGGAAAAGTCTTTTCTTTATAGAGAAGTATCAACATCAAAATAAAGAGCATATTCACAAAAGTAGTTTTACTGAGTTCCAAGAAAATATCTCAATTGAGAACTGTCATTCTTTAAATGGATCTGAAGTCTGAGACTAATTTTAAATCATCTTGAATAACAAAGGCTTCAAGCAAGCACAAACAAAACTCAAAAGACACTTCTAAGAATCTCAAATGTAGGAGACCATTTTGATGACCTTCATGACCTCAACCTTAGCAAGACTCTAAAAGAAAATTAAAAACTGTGAGTCTTAAGTTCAAAATGGTTATGTCCTAGTTACCAGAAAATTAACTGTATAGTTAACAGAATATTATAAATTACTTTATACTGTTAAATATGTAATGCAAAATTAAGTTCTCTACCCATTTTGAACTAGAAAGATTACATGAGGCAAATGAGTGATAGTATAAAAATTCCAGATGTAACTGTAGAATTGACTTTCAGAGTTATGAAATTGGCAAAGATTGAGAACACTGAGTCTAAGTATTTGAACCCTTGCCTCCTCTTCCATCCCTCCACCCCAATCCTCTGAATTCCTTTTGGCAAGACTTGCCTCTCCTCCCCTACACAGTTTTATCCTCTTATCCTCTTGTTCCTTCCAAGTATCTACCTTGCCTGTCTAAACTCTGGATAAATTTGGTTCTGTCTACCTCTCATTGTCTACTACTGGGTTGGAAATAGTTCCTTGAGGAAACCAAACCACTTGTCTGAGTTGTTCATTATGAAGTAAAGAGTTATCATTGACAAATGCAATGGGGACAGAACTGCAAAGGATCAAGACAATCCCAGCATCCTGAAAGTGGGATGGAGTGTGAGTAGTTGAGTTAAAAACAAGAGCCAGGGACCTCCCTGGTGGTGCAGCAGGTTAAAGCACTGCATTATGAAGCTGTCACAGCCACTGCAGCACAAGTTCAATCCCCACCCAGGGAGATGACCCACATGGTGCAAACCTCTCCTGACCCTCAGGAGACTGCTCCCTTCAGCAGTGTACTTTGTCAATCTGCCTGTTCTGCTCCCCACTCTGCCTCTGGTGAGTCTTCTCACCTCCCACAACTCTGACCTATATCACAGTTCTGTATGCATAAATACATAAATCTTTAAAAAGAAAAAAAACAAGAGCCAACATTTCCTATCCCGTTTCATGTTTTCTAGTATAACTAGTTGAAAAGTAGGCAACTGAAGAGAAGTTACATAAAAACAGAGAAGAGGAAAAAGTATTAAAGTTAGCATGAAGTCCAGTAAAAGAATTATTTTTTTTAAAGATTTTTTTATTCTTGCATACAGAACTGGGGTACAGGCCAGAGGTGCAGGGGCAGTGAGAGGATTCACCAGAGACAGAGCAGGGAAAGATCAGGCAGATCAGCGAAGTACACTGCTGAAGGGAGTGAGGGGAGCAGCTGGCAGGTCAGGAGCGGTCTGCCGTGCCATGTGGGTCACCTCCGGGGTGAGGATCGAACTCATGCTGACGTGGCTTTAGTTCCTTAATGTTGTGCTTTAACCTGCTGCACCACCAGGAAGGGCCCAAGAGAAATATTTTAATGGAGCTTGAAATCAAGAACTGAGAGCAAAGAAAAAAAAAGGTAAACTGAAGCTGTCATCCATGTTGATTGTGTGAATGGAAAAGGGCTAAAGTTCAAATTCAGTAGCAGTTTATACAGTTTATACATTTATTTTCATGATCCTAACAAAGATTTTGCTTTCCAATCTTGAATCACTAAAACTCATTCCAGTGACAAGGACAAATTCTATCTTAATTATTGTAAAATCTGAAGTAGTTATCATTTTGCATTAGCAATGTTTGTAAAATATATCTTGTAAAGTCTTGCATAAAAACAATTTCAGACTCGCAGAGCGATTAAGAGCAAAATTGCCTGATGCCACAGATACAGAACTAGAAGAGCTGGTTGACAAGCGCTCAGACTTTGCTACCAAGTGCTGTTCCATCAACTCACCTCCTCTCTACTGTGATTCAGAGGTAAGAAAATCTGATCCTTGTGATTTCATAGTGTTTTAAAAAAATAGACCTTTATTCATTGTTACTAAAAATGTGGCAGATTTTTCCTGATGCTTTACAAAAAGAAAAAAGAAAACCTGCTTCCACATTATACTCACTTAAAAGCAAATTGAGGCAGTTGCAAAGCTTATAAAATTTTACGTTAACCACATGTTAAAACAGAGAAGAGGAAAAAGTATTAAAGTTAGCATGACCTCCAGTAAGAGAAATACTTTATCGGAGTTGAAATCAAGAACTGAGAGCAAAAATAAAGAAGATAAACTGAAATAGTCATGGTGGCCTCGGAGTTAACTCTCAGTACTATCACCACAATGGTCTCAGCGCAATCCCAACCATCGAACTAACCCACATGGTACAGCAGACCTCAACCAGCGAACTAACCCACATGGTACAGCAGGGGAGCCTGCTGCTCCCCTTAGCAAAGTATTTCTGTCAACCTGTCTGTTCTGCTCTCAACTCTGTCTCTGGTGAACCCTCTCACTCTGCACCTTTGTCCTATACCCCAGTTCTTCTATGCAAAAATAAATAACTTTTATAAAGAGAATACAGGCAGCAAAATCCAGGGCACTGTTTTTCAATTTATAGGTTGAAATCTATTAATAGCTTTTTGTAATGAAAAGGGAAAAAAAAAGAATATAGTAGAAAGTACATCTCATAGTGTGAGGGCAAGTATTTTGTGTTTTATTTCATACTGTGTGTATGTATATGTATATTGGCATCAATACAGACAAATGCTTTTAGGGAAATGAATCAAGCCTTGTTTTTATCTTAATTATAAAAGTTGCAAAGTTTGGCATTAATATAACATACGAAACAGAAATAAAACTGCAGAATTAGTAAAAGTCACAAAAATGTGTATCATATGAATATCTCCTAAAATCAAACGATTTCATCACATTAAAATGAACTCATTTTTCAGTTACAATTTTTCTTTCATTCACAATTTACTTCCAACTCAGGATAATCACAACTATTATGTTATCTTCCCATTTCCTCCCCCACTCCTAATTTGTTAGTTCCAGAGTTTTCTTTTCTTGAAATGTAAATTCTCCTCCAAACCTGCTTTCCTTTCCTCTATCCTGCTTCTCCTATCTCCCTTCGATCTTCTCCCTCTGTATGATTACAAGATTATTTTTTACTCTATGCATAACATAAGGTATTTGCCACCAGTCCTTTTATTTCCACTCATAATAGGTTAATTAGCATAGCCAATTTGCTGCATCTGAGTTTACTGGTTTTATCCCATAAACCCCATTGAGCTGGCTAAGGCTTGGTGTTCTAAGTGTGCAGACGAAGGTGTGTGTGTGGGGGGGGGGGGGGGGCGCGGGGGGTTCTGTTGTTGGAAGACCTGGCCTGTGGCTTTCAGATTTTGTTAAGTGTTTCCTATTGAGATTTCCTCACCAAGTATCTCCCCTATTCCTTGGGAGATCTTTTCGTTCTCAGATGTAGCTCATTTGTTCACATCTTCCATTTGACTTATTACTGTCTTCCAAGTAACTGAAAAGACCACTAGAGACAAATTAAAGAGCCAAAGAGGAGACCTACTAACCTCCTTTCTTGTGCCTCCTCACTCCCTTTCTCCTTTCACCTCCCTTCTCTCTTATAAAGGAAAATTGACACCACACCTACTGTCTGTCACATCTCAGTATAAGATAGATTTCATGATCCCTAATGTCATGGCTTACATTAACCTCATTACTAAATGTTAAGCAGAATATTAAAAGCCATCCATGTATTTATAGAACAAAATTTAAAATTATAAATGTTAGGTAAAATTTTAATTCCTATTTTACAGATGGGTTGAATGAGAGATGTTTTACGGAGTTAGGAAAATCATATGGTTTACTCTACGTCATCATTATCTTAGATTTCAGCTGTAATTTGGCTAACAAGGCCAAAAGCAAACTGTTGGTACCATAATGCTTAATAACTAATGAAAATACAAAATTGTCAAAAATAGCAAAAATAATTCAGAAGTTTCACTCTAAATGCCATTCATCTTGGGCCCTTCTTCCACTAAGCTATGTTCGCCTCTTGCTTCCACTTATCTCCTCCTTATGAAAGTAAGATATGTTAGACACTAGATACCACTCCTACATTTTTCTTTATTGTCCCCTTATAGCCAAGACTCTTGAATATATATGCATATAGTATAAATCTATATATGGTATAGATATAGTATATACAGTATATAATCTCATTCTTCACATCCCCTTTAATTCCTCAATCCTGTAACAGCAATCCTCTGATTGCTCTCCATTGCTTCTAAGTTGAAGTGCAGTTTTTCTTTATTAACAAACTAAGATTTTGATCATTTGATTTATGCCCATCTAGCGAGTTCCTCCCAAACACTTGGCAGTTTCCCAAGCCTTGTTCTCACCTGAAAGTCTTTGCATACAATGACTCATTCTGGTTCATACTATACTTACTCTATAACCCAACTAGGCTGTTCACAAGTCTGGGGATTCATTTCAATATCAGTTCCTCTGGGAATCCTTCCCTAAAATTCTTTTTTTTTTTTCTTTTTTCTCTTGTCATTTAACATTGTGTGCACAACCAATAATTAGCATTTCTTTAAAATCTTTTTTTTTCTTGTTATTTTTCCAAGAACCTTGTAAACTCTTCAAGGGCAGAGACAATGTAAAACTAAATAAATAGGAAGAGTGGTCAAAAAAAAAAATTCAACATAAAACTGTATTTTGACAAGAATCCTTTCCTCTAACAAGGGTTTGAAATTGTTTCCCTTTTTGCATGATTTAGTAGTCTACAAATAAAATACTTTATGAATTAAGCAATACTTTCTTTTCATTTCAGATTGATGTGGAGATGAAAAGTACCCTGTAATCCGAATCATGTGTATTGTCCTAAGTAAGTAGTTTTTAAAGGCAACCAATTTTATACTATGTATTTTACAAATCATGGAATTCATTCTAATTCAATTCTACTCATTTTATTTATTCTAATTATTATTGACTCAAACTCACTTTACACATAGAATATTAATTTAGGCATGTGGAGAAGCTAGGTTTCACAAATATGAATGACCAAATTCTGACACATTTAGAAATAGAATCCAGGTTTCTAACAGTGATATATCAATCACAAAGCCACACCTAAGTTAAGGAAAAAGATCACTTAAAGTATTCTGATAGATAAGTCTAAGGAGAAAAAAGCACTTTTCAAATTAAAGGAACATTTAAACATTATCATTTGCTTTTTAAAAAAAAAAAAAGATTTATTCATACAGAACTGGGGGGGGGGGGTAACTGGCCAGAGATGCAGAGGGTTGAGAGGATTCACCACAGACAGAGTAGGAAGCAGAACAGGTAGATCAACGAAGTACACTGCTGAGGGGAGCAGCGGGTGGGTCAGGAGAGGTCTGCTTCGCCATGTGGATCTCCTCCAGGGCAGGCGGGGATTGAACTCATGTGGAAGTGACTTAAGCTGCTTGGTGCTGTGCTTTAACCTGCTGCGCCACCAGGGAGGACCATCATTTGCTTTTTTAATACACATTTAAAATTATCTGATGAGGGCTTTCCCTGGTGGTACAATGGGTTCAAGCACCACATTATGAAGCTCTCCAAAGCCACTGCAGCATGAGCTCAAACCCCAGTCAGGGAGCTGACCCACATGGCGCAGCAGACTTCTCCTGACTCACCAGTTGCTCCCCTCAGCAGTGTACTTTGTCAATCTGCCTGTTCTGCTTCCGACTCTGTCTCTGGTGAATTCTCTCACCTCCCCTGCACCTCTGGCCTATACCCCAGTTCTGTATGCATAAATAAATATTTTTTTTAAAATTACCTGATGAACAACATACTAGGAGTTTAAAATAGCTTGAGACATAAATCTTAAATTTCATACCTGAAATTGAAGATCTATATCTCAACAAAAATATTTTCTTTCTAGGTTAGAAAATGATGAGAACAGTCATTTTGTGTTATCTCTGAACATAATTGAGGTGTTTCAATAAATTGTGGAAGTGGTCAAAGAAATTCATTTTTGAACTCACCTAATCTGAGCTAGAATTTGCTGCTCAAGTTATTTGTATTTCCTGAAATTAGATCTCATTTATTTGTAAAATTAAATTATCCTCTCAGATTTACTGTGATGATTGTAAAACTAGATGAAATATCTAGAAAACAGTGACTAAGTTGTTAGTGCTACTGATTCTACCACTGCTGGTAACGGGAGGCTGAACTAAAATGAGTTTCCCTCTCAATGTAGTTTTATGCTTTGGTATACAGGTATTACATCATAAAGGGAAAGTTCTCTGATATATGAGGAAAAAAATTAATATCCAATTCATTTCCCATAGAAAAATCTAGAATTTAAAAAAAAAAATCGGGCCCACCCTGGTGGCTCAGCGGGTTAAAGCACAGCACTAAGAAGCTAAAGCCACTTCCGCATGAGTTCGATCCCCGCCTGCCCTGGGGGAGATCCACATGGCGTGGCAGACCTCTCCTGAGCCGCCCGCTGCTCCCCTCAGCAGTGTACTTCATAGATCTGCCTGTTCTGCTCCCACTCTGTCTCTGGTGAATCCTCTCATCCTCCGCATCTCTGGCCTGTACCCCAGTTCTGTATGAATAAATAAATCTTAGAAAAAAAAAAATCTACAGGACCCTCCCTGGTGGTACTACAGGTTAAAACACAGCACTGTGAAGCTATCCACAGCCACCACAGCACAAATTCTATTCTCAGCCAAGGAGGTGACCCACATGGCGTGGCAGACCTCTCCTGTCTCACCCACTGCTCCCCTCATCAGTATACGTCAGTATACCTGTTCTGCCCCCAACTCTGTCTCTGGTGAATCCTCTCATCCCCCACACCTCTGGCTTGTACCTAGTTCTTATGTACACAAATAAATTTAAAAAACAAAAATCTACAGTTAAAATAACACTGGTATCTGTTACTAAAATAATCCTCTTCCCTCACTTAAATGAATTCAAGTTTCAAGTCTCAATATAAATCTCAATTTATATACAAACTCTATAAGAATTAAAAATCCAAGAGTTACCTTACTTCCCATCCTTCTTAAGCTCTAGTAAGAATCAGAGCTGTTGGAAAAGCTGAAAGATACATTTTGACTCTTGAGTTTATTTTCACTGAACTGCATGGTTTTTTAGGAACTCAGAAGGCATTTTCTTGGTATTTCATGTAATATTCTCTCAAATTCTGGAAGCCCAAATTGAAATAGGAGACCATATTCAAAGAAATATAAGGTGAAAAAACATTAATAACAATAATTTGATGAATCTCATGTTTTTTTTTAATTTAAGAACTTTCAGAAACACTTAATGCTAAGTCAAAGATAAATTCAATTTTTTAGTGACAGACCAAAAGTCCAATATACAGCTTATTCTGGTTACAGTTATTAGCCACATAAATATTTTAGTCATCTGGAAGTCCTAAAATTCACATAGTCTTCCCCTAGATTTCAACCTAGTGCACTGACCCTCTCAAGTTCAATTTTATCTACTATCTATTATATTCTCAACCTTCAATAAAGGGCAACAAAGACTGTTTACCAGGAATAGTTACACAGTTTTGAAAAATAAAATTCTATCTCACTTACAAGGCTATAAAGCTGGGGTGCCTGAGATCTTACATGAATAAGAGCACAATCTAGATATTTCATTACTTTTCCAGATTGTGGTTCTTGCGCTCTGAAAGAACAACCTTAGATTTGCTCAATTTTTAATAGCATCACCCTCAAATACCGTCCCTTTTGTGAGTTTCTCTGGACCCAGGATTGACTTAATGATTCCCAAGCCCTGAGTCCTTTTCCCACCAGACAGTCTTTCCATCTTGTTTTCATTTGCTATAGAACATATCCATTTTCCTCTAAGATTTCTCTCACTGCAATATATAAGCTTTCCAATGACAAAAGTGGCTCAAAACAAACGTTTTCCTAAAACTTTTTTTATTGGGGATAATTAATCCAACACGGTATTAGTTTTAAATGTATGGCATAATTCAGTTATTTTTATATTTACCTATATTTTAGATCACTAAACCAAGTCTAGTTAACCATTCATACCATACATATTTACATTTTCTTATAAGAGAACATGAAAGATCTACTCTCTTACCAATTTCAAATATGCAACCGAGAATTATAAGCTATTGTGTATATATACTATATAGTCTATATATACAGAGTCTATATAAGTTACATTCCAGTTCCTAAAGCTATTTAAACAGCCTTGACTGACTTTCTACCCCCTCCCAAAGCCCATCCCTCTTTAGAAATTTGTAGAAGCCAAATCTTTTGTCTCTATATAATCCTATCCTTAAGTACACCTGTTAATTCATGTCTTGCAGTCCACAATTTGAACTATCTCATTCTCAACTAAAAAGAAATCTTATGAATTTAAGTTGTCACACTGACAATTGGCTTCTTGATCAATCTTTCTTCACACCCCAAGCATATTATGACCATATTTGCATTCCTCATTGGGGAGGGAATTACTGTCTCTTAGTAAAGCTCACAAACCTAGTTATCTTTTTTCCTTAAGCTTGGCAATCAATTAACATTCCTTGTGTTGGCTACTGCTACAGAATCAGATTACATGGAAGATACTTTAAGTTCCAGAATCACTCTTAGTACAGGAAAAACAACCAAACTGAGGCACAGTAAGAAAGGCCTGTCTCCACTTCAGCTTCCCTCCCAGGCCTACATTCCTTGAGGACAATGAAACACAGAATCCCTCACATTGCTGAGGTATCTTGGAAAATAACTTTTTTGAAAATCCAGGAAGAAACACATCTACCTTAATACAGAGAAGATGACTTGATAAAAACTCACACTCAGTGTTTTACCTCAATTCCATGATTAGGGACCACAAAGTTGCATTATATTTTTTTCTCCAGTAGTATTAGAGATTCTCACAGCACAGAGAGGGACACCTTTCATTAGATAAAGGAAAAAAAAAAAAAAACCCACAGCAGACAACGTTTAGTGAACCTTGTCAGAATAGTGATGGCTTCATTTTCAGGTGATAGGAATTTCTTACATTTTTTATCCTGGACAATCAGGTAGGTTATAAAAATATAAACACTTATTTTTGGCAAGAGCATGAAAATAATCTGATCTTCTGTCTGTCTGGCAGTATTATGACTGTTACTTTGCTTTTCTAACATGTGTTCCATTCTTCTCATAGACCTACAGTGACGCACCGTGGGACTGCTAGGATCCCCTAATCTAAGCAGAACCAGAGCTTCTGGGGAGACAACTTGGATGCTCCCTGTTTTATCAGCTACAATATTTTCATACAATAAGTATGATTTCCTACCAAATAAATTTAAAATATAATGCAAACTATAAATGCTACTAGGGATGATGCTATCTCATTGATCTTCAGATCTTCACCAAGATGCTACCATAGGTAGCATCAACTTCACAAGTTCCTGCTTCTTTCTAAATCTCTGTGACTCTAATAAAAGATTTACATCATGAAGCACAAACTTTAGAATTGCCAACAAATTAAACTCCATCCCATGACTGCTTTATTTCTTGAACTTAATAGGTACCATTACACAAAGTTAGCCAGCTTTCCACCATAAATAGCTTGGGATAACTCACTTGCTTAAAAAAAAGAGTCTACATTCTTTATCCTAGTTGCAAATTATATAGCAGTAAGTATGCAGTATCTACATTGTATAAAGAAATATTTTATGACTTGAACTAGCCTGTTTTGCCAAAAGTGAGTGATAACTCAGAGCATTTTATTGAGTCAAAGTTCTAAAAGCATCTATTTTAATTTGTCATATAATATGATACTCTTTTTAAATACTTTCTTTTTTAAGTAGTATTGGTTTACAACATTGTATATGTTTTAGACACACAGGCTCATACGTCCCCAAGTGAATTGTATCAAACCTGCCACCAAAGTACCAACAAACTTTGCTCAGAAAAAAAATGATAGCTTGAGGGCCTCCCTGGTGGTGCAACGGGTTAGGATGTAGCACTGCAGGCTGGCTGCAGCCACTTCAGTGTGAGTTCAATCCCTGCCCCGGAGGTGACCCACATGGTGCAGCAGACCTCTCCTGTCTCACCCACTGCTCACCTCAGCGGGAATACACTTTAAATATATACTTTGTCAATCTGCCTGTTCTGCTCCCCTCTCTGTCTCTGGCAAATCCTCTCACCACCCCTGCACCTCTAGCCTATCCCCCAGTTCTGTTTGCATAAAATAAATATATCTTTAAGAAAAAAAATGACAGCTTGCTAACTCAACATATTTTGTTGGGGAGCAGTGTGAAATTCATCTTTTCAGAATTAATACTCTTGAAACTAATAAAAACAAAGAAAACCTACATTTATAGTTAATTTCCATCATAAAATTAGTACTCTTCTCATGGCAGGTATGTAGGTTTATTTGGTGGAGGTGAAACATTTTATGGAAAATTTAACTATAATCACTTCTGGCAAAATCATCGCTAGTCACTTCAAAATTATAAATCCCAAAAGAGAAGATCAAGATCAGGTACCCAACATTTTACCAGGAATTAGGAAATAAAATGCCCAGACCCACTTGTAGCTTTATAGTAGCAGGTGCAATCCAAACTCTCACAAAGATTTCAAAATGGTAAACTAACCTCAAATAAAGTGTGTAGATGCTATGAAGCAAAGAAGCAAGAAACTACTAACAATGCATTTTACATTTTTAAAAAAGATTTATTTATTTATGCATACAGAACTGGGGTACAGGCCAGAGGCACAGGTGCGGTGAGAGGATTCACCAGATAGGGCAGAGAGAGGAACAGGCAGACCAATGAAGTATACACTGCTAAAGGGAGCAGCAGGCAAGTCAGGAGAAGTCTGCTGACCTGAAGGTGCCATGTGGGTCACCTTCAGGGTGGGGATCGAACTCATGCTGAAGTGACATTAGCTTCTTAGTACTGTGCTAAATTTAACCCACTGTGCCACCAGGGAGGGCCCTCAGTTTACATTTTTAAAAAGTTATTTTTCACTTCAAAAGTTCACCCTACCAAAACTTTGAAACAAACTCTGAGAAATAGATACCACTGATAAAAATATCACGAACATATGACTCCATAATAGTGAGTGCCCCAATGTAACACATTTAGCAAGAAACAAACCAGAGATAGCATTCAATCCCATCATGCCCTGCAGATTTTGTGAGAAAACCTGAAGAACATGTACCCCAATCACATAAGTGTGGGAGATTTTGTTATCTCTCCCTTGAAAAGTTACAACTCACTATGTATAATTTAGTGTGCCCTAAATTTAAACCTGGACCCCTCTTCTTTGAATATCAGATAATTATTGCTCTGAAGAAACTGATTTTTAAATGTACTTCTAAAGTAAAAACAAAGCAACATTTTCAAATTGTTCACCTCTATGAACTGGTCCATTTTGGGCCACATATTTTTGTCTTGTAGCAGGTAAATCAGGTGTTTTTGTCACTAAGTACTTAATATATATAACATGATTAGCTGAGGTTGTTTCTGTGGTTCCTACAGACCTACTTGCCAGGAAACTCTGAATACCTTTCAGCATTTTTTTATTAGTAATTGCTGACCCAAATACTCCATTTTAATAAAGAGCTTTAATTTTAGGCTTTATTTACATTCTGTCCCTATATTCTGTTCCATTGTGTAGGAAGCAAAGAGATTTAATATTTTATTCTTAGGAAGAATTTGTTTCCTTTCAAAATGCTTCCCAATTATAGAGAAGCTTTTGAAATTAGCCATGGCTGATTTTACTGACTCATGTCCCTTATACAGAAGTAGTCTTCAGTTTTCTATGCAGTATGTATCAGCTTCATCCAAAAACCTGGGTCCTTACAATATAAGAAATAAACAAAACAAAAAAAACAAACAAAATCCTGATGATCATTCAGGGTTCTCCATGTAAACAGAACTAGTAAGAGAGAGATTTAGTTGAAGGGACTTACAAACTTGTTGAAGTGGCAGGTCCCAAATCTCTAAGACAGAATGCCAGGTCTGGATATCCGTGCAGTCTCTAGTTTTAGATAGAATTCCTCTCAGAACAATATCCCTTTTCACTTTTAAGACCTTGGATTGAGGTCCAAGCACATCATTAGGAGTAATCTCTGTAATTAAGGTCAGCTGATCGTAGATGTTACTCTCATATCCACAAAATATCTTCAAAGCAACATCTAGACTAATGTTTGACTAAAAAAACAGGCACCACAGCCAACTTGACACATAATATTTAACCATTATGAACCATCACACAAACCTTCAGCTATTCTTGTTGCCCTTCACAAATTTAAACCTTGTAAGTTGTGGCACTTACTTTCTATCTTTCACTAGATACCCAGACTCTGAAAACATCCCTTGAGAATCATCATTTAAATGGTCTTCACAGAATGAGTATGTTAGCATCTCATCTGAAACTTCTTTATAGGGAGATTTTAATTGAAAACAAGCCAAGGGAAAAGCTTTTATATTATGTCACTTAACTCAATAGCAGCAGATTATAATGAAGCAATAATTTAATCAAATTGACAATTTACCTATTTTCATTGGAGTAACAGCTAAAAATAAGAATCTTAGAGGTTGTTTTAGGAAGCTTTTAGTTTCCCTTATGCCAGCTTTCCCCACCAAAGAGGTGGTCTCATCTCACCCACGCTATAGATCAGTGATTTTCCAAAGCAGCTGTACATTAGAATCGCCAAAGAATTAGGAAGAAAATAAAAACAGAACAGTGCCCAGCACTGACCACCCTTCCCCCATCCCGACACCCCTCAATTCAGATTTAATCATTCTAGAGTGGAGCTTGCAGTATAGACAAGTTTTTAAATCAAGTCTTCGGAAGCTTGGCACCCTCACCCACATTAGAAAAGGCAGAATCTGAGATGAACCAAGTAAACACCTATTTATTACATGACTAATTATACCATGTCAGGGGCACACTTCAAATACTGTATCTCAACCCAACATTGTATTTGCAGAATTTTTGTCAATGAATGAAAGTTTTTGTTTTCTACTAAAGAAACCCAGTCATATACAATCAAGTCAAAATACGACTTTTCCCAAGGCTATTTCATCCTTGCCTATTTTTTCCCACAAGCTGTAATATTCTTTTCCACATTAGGTCAAGAAAGTATCTGTTTCTTCTACCACATCCAAAACTACAAGTCTCCAAGTTTCATAAAATGCATTTTGGTAAATTCAGTTTGCAATGAACAATAGTATCTACTTACCAATCCATACACCTGGGGCTTGGGATTCCTGTATTCTCCCAGCAAGTAAATTTCTAACAATGAACTAGGTGTGTATGTCTTCATTCTTCAATGCCAGAAATTCGTTATGTCCCTCGTGTCCTACACCATGAAAAGCCTCACGGAGGCTTTGCATTTCAAATAAGAGTCTTTGCCGCCACCTTGTGGATGACAAGTCTAAATACAGATGAACGTAGAAATGCACTCTGCAATCAAATCTGGATAAAATTGACAGCACACGACTGACCACCTAGGATATGCTTCTTGAAGTTCTGTTTCTTCTGTTGGTTCCTCTGCTTAGAACAGCATGAAGAGCTTGGAGGCAAGTTAACAAGACACAGTATTTCCAACTTTTGCTCCCAGAGATTTTAACTATTTGCGTCAATGTAGCATCTTTATAGACAAAGAAAATTACTGTAA